GAGCATGGAAGTTAGCTATCGTTCGAACTTTGCCGAAAGTTTCTAGTCCAAAAGAACTTTTCCACTTGAGGCCAATAAGCATTCTGCCTGTCTTTTCCAGGGTCTTGGAAAAAATTATGAAGGAATGAGTCAGAGGATAATGTCTTTTAAAATAATAAAATTTCAAGTGGTCAGTCTGGCTTTAGACCGAACTTTAGCACTACAACGGCACTGACTGCAATCGTCTCATATGAGAGAAAGTTGTCGGCAGGAAGTTCCTCAGGGGTCTATACTTAGGCCCCTACAATTTTCTATCTATATCGCTGACTTCCGCACATACGTCGACACCTGCAATCAAAAAATAAATGAGGACTTGACTTCGATCGTCATGCTTTCTTCGGCGCATAATCTTGGTCTAAGCGGGGAGAGGCTCTGCAAATAACACTGAGATGAGATGCTTCCCACATGTGAATTACATATGTCAAACATAACAATCAAACAGCATAATTAAACTATTCTAACCAAATAAGAGTTAAAATTGCGCTTGTGTGAGTGTTCGTTTGTCCTACAAAATTGCTGAGTCTGGTAGATTAAAACTGAACCTCTCACGAAACTTTTACCACTTACGCTTGGCTCACAAAATTTCGATTTCGGAGTGACCAGAAAGGAAGAACGTCAATTTTTTATTATCGTACCCGCAATAGTAGTCAATAATCCCATTTTCTTATGCGGCTCCCAGTCGCTTGTCATAACTACACAATCAAAACTTTTTAAAAGGTATATATAAATGTATAAGAAACTGGCAAAAAGGTAGGAAAAAATGTTTAACCTTTGGCTTTCCTAAGGTATGGCGAGAATGTTCAAGAAATTGCGTATTCCAATCTTGACTCTGCTATTGGACCAGATGTAGCGATACCAACCGTGCCAAAAGAACTAGATAACGTCATATCGTCAGAGTCAGATGACTCAGATTTCACACCAGATTTCACATCAGATTTCAGAGAGCCCAAAGTGCATAACCGAATTAAATGATTTAATTAGAGATTTGCACCTTCGAAAGGATGAAAAACATTCACCGACCCCTGGCGTCACATCGAGATCGCGGAAAAGAGTTATGTCAATATTTTACTCAGGAAGGACCGCTAGTGTATTGCAACAATATTCCTGACTTAGTTTCAAAATTAGGTTCCCGTTGCACATGCGCATTTAAAAGAACCGTATGAAAATTTGGGACTTCTTTTGAAGAAAATACGCTACCAAGAACATCAATGGATGCTTTGTGGTGACCTTAAAGTGCATTCTCGTAGGACAACAAGGAGGTCAAAATTTCCATGCTTTATTTGTGAGTGGGCAAGACTTTAGACTGAAATAGAATGGCCCTCTAGAACAAACCTTACACCTGGTAGAAAACAAATATTAAATGATAGTTTAGTTGACCCCAAAAAAGGTTAACTGCCTCCTCTTCATATCAAACTAGGCGTGATGACACAGTGTAATATCGTTTTTTTTTCTTTAATATTTGTATTAATTTTATTTCATTAGCATACATGCTATTACGCAGAAACAGTACTAAAACTACGCTTGTACTTGACATAAGCTATGCATGATTATATATTCGAATCGTAGTAAATTACATTTATATAAAAGCAAAAGATAATTCACACTAATATTAATATTAATATAAGAATCTTTTACCATTTTTTGGAAGCTTTTTACATTCGGTAAACTTTTGGTGTCTGTCGGCAGAGCATTGAACAATCGAAGCCCATCACTAAACAGGCTTTTTTGCATTTGTAGAGTTTTAACATACTGAATATCAAAATCAATTTTACACCTAACATTATAAAAATTCCCGCTTCGCTTTATTTTGTAGCACTTGTGTTCTATGAACATCACTGTTTCTACAAGAAATCTTTCGATTGCTTTCGAAAAATCGTCACTGGGCGGGGCAAGTTCGTAGCGCGTAGCGCAAAGTAGCTTTTTATTATAAAAGGAAAGAGCTTCGCGGTTTCCTGTGGTAAAGAGACGCATTGTTTTTCTATCGTTCTCCTGCGGACCACTATGGAACTTTCAGAAAATTAATGTAATTTAATTGTGCATGCACCCTGTATGAAATGTCCTTCACATAACAGCGTTGTCGAATGATATTTTTTCAAATATCTCGCGCCCCGTATAATTGACGAAACCTGAATCTCTCTCACGACACGCTTTACGATACTGTTCAAATAAAATTAACTTAATTAATCTTTAAAGGTTTTTCATTTATAACCAATAATTTACACACAAAAACGGAAATTTTTAGGATATTTTAGATTTTTTGCCCATGAACGACACTCCCTGTATATGATACAATCATTGTTCGAAGTAGAGATTATAGCCCTGGATTTTCCACGCTTCCTGGTTCAAGAATTTTTTGAAAATAATAAATGGTTTTCGAGAAAATCAGTTTTTTCTGAAACCATGCAGTGCGCCGTAATAATCAATGACGTCATCGCGTGTTGACATTGCCGTAAATGACGATTTCAATATGGATTTTTTCAAAAATTGAACTGAGGTGGCTTTTACTTGTTGAAAATCCATTTAACAAAATAAATAAGAACTAAAAGCTCAGATTTTCACGAAATTATATATTATGACATGACAATTGTTTCGAAAACACCGTGTCTTTATATAATAATATATAATAAATAAATAATAAAGACACGGTGTTGTCGAAACAATTGTCATGTTATAATATATAATTTCGTGAAAATCTGAGCTTTTAGTTCTTATTTATTTTGATGGATTTTTTCAAATATTCCCAGCAGCGTATGGGATAGACGAAAACTGCAAATACAAAAATTGTAATTTGAAAACCCTGTATATAATCGAGAAAATGTCCGAAATCAATGTTATTGCACTGGATCTTCTACGTCTGTCGGTTAAAGAATTTTGCCAATCGGATGAACGATTATGGAGGAAAATATATTTTTCTGGAAACTAAAATTACCCAAAAAAAATTTCATACGTTTTTCAAAAATCTTTAGTGAAATTGGATTGCGCCCAATTTCTACCGTTTAAATGTGGACATGGACTCTTACTTCTCTGCTAAATTTGAAGTTGATATCTGCAAATTTAGGACACCTAACACATTTTTCATTTAGCACGGAATGTCGGGAACACCCTGTACAATAGGTGAAAACCTTAAATACAAAAGTTTTTGGTATCTATGCGGGCTATATCGTAATATAAAAGAAATTGAGATCAGAATCATATTCTTTCAGTTATAACCAATTTTCAATAATAGGGGGACCCATTTTTCAGTTTTTTTGAATTTGCAGCGCAGTCTGTATATTTTTGAAAAATTGTCAAAAATAACAGTTTATAGAGCTGTATCTTCTGCTTCTTTTGGTTCAAGAATTTTTTTGGTCTCGTAAACAGTTTTTGAATAGTTATGTTTTTTGTAGATCCTTGCACACGCCATTTTATATTTTTTAGAATACTTCCCTACCCCCCAACCCCCCATTTTCAATAGATTCCGTCACGGGGCAAAGCTGCATATATGTGCCAAATATGAAGTCGATTGCTTCAAATTTCGGACACTTATCGTGCTTCATAGCAAGGTCCAAAAACAGTCGAAAATCGCGAAAAAGAAAGATCGATACCGGCGTCGGATCGGGGCCATTTCTTATAAACGTATGTGCCTCGTCGAGGGTTAAAAAGGAGGCAAATTTCAATTTTGTAGCTTCAACTGTTCGAAAATTATTCAGGAAAAACCAAAAGACGAGAACGGAGAACGGACAAACAAAAAAATATTTTTTTTTCGACGGTGATCATTTCTGTAATAACGGCGATCCCGTAGGACTTACCGTTACCGAGATATAAAATTATTATACGAGCCCAGATACTTTCGAAAAATTCGATTTCATCGATTTTCGAAAGTAACAAGACGTCTGCTCCAGTGGCTAAGCTCAGGCGAAAGTCTACGCAAGAAACCCTATCTTTTTGCAAGTTTTTTACAAATATATCTACATGTCTACATTTCCTATTAACCTAGTATCAATATAAATCTTAAAATTAGTATCCAAAAATTCATTACAATTTTGTTTACTCCCAAATACCATATATGCTGTTTTATTTAAATTTAAGTTTATTTACGCCTAATCAGTCACTAAGTAACCTTAATTCTAAGTAATTTTTCCCAGAAATTGATAGCAGAGTGTCATCTACGAAAACGTTGACAAAGCAATTTTTCAAAATTTTGTCTAAATCGTTCACATATAGAACAAAAATCAAAGGTCCTAATACAGTGCCTTGGGGCACACCTATATTGTTTTCTAATTTATCAGACACCACGATATTAATCCTTGTGATATGGATGATATGGAATCTGTCACATATCAACTATCCACACAAGCACGTTCCCTCTGATCCCATATGCAAACAGTTTATCCACCAGACGTCCTCTATCGATGGTCTCAAAGGCTCTTTGAAGATCCATTAACATGAAATATAAAACCCATACTGCCCTTTAAAAATTAGTTTATTTTTTTGTAGGAAGTAGCTGCTTACACACAATTGTTTCTTAAACTTTGTCTATAGCCGATAATAAATTAATTGGCGGGTGTTCTCCAGGTTTACTCGGAACTGGTACTTTGGGATATAGGTACAATAACGCTTCTCTTGATCTCTTCGGGAATTTTTCCTGTCTTAAGTTAAATATTTTTTAAATACAACAATGGATATCCGATTAAACAAAAAGTATTTTTCAAAAAGTTTATATCGCATATATTGATCTATTTTTCAATTTCATTGCTTTCAGCAATGTCAAGAATTCTTTTTGCATAGAAGTTGTTAAAATTTTGTTCTATATTGCCCAAATCATCTTCAAATTTGAATGATGAATAATAAAATAACCATAAATAAGATGTATGGTTAATTGTTGGCCAATTGAAAGACCTGTTATAATCAATAGCTTGATATTATCGTAATTAATTTGTTCCTTCCTCCGTTCAACTCCGTTTTTACATTTTACTTGCGAGTTTGTTTTCCGGAAAATGGACACGCCCCCCTCTCCGGGTCCATTAATAAGTCTCCGTTTTGCAGAAACGACTTTTTTTTTTAAATACGACCCAAACCACACGCGGAGCTATAATTACGTCGGAGTCGCTTTAATTATTGATGGGGGTGGTTTTTCCCGTCCCCCTGCCCCCACAACGACGGTCCGCGAAAACTTTCAGTGCGATCGCGAACGCGGGAAATGGCGGACCGAAGCGCTGACGCAGCTGCATCCGATGCCCTCTAAACGACACGTCACAGGTTATGACGCGCGGTTTTCGAACGACTTGAGTCGCGTAGTAGGTCGTGACGTACGATTGTTTTGGCTTTTTGACGTTTCGGCGATTATGTTCGCGTCCATCTTCGCGGAGTTTGTGAAGAGTCGTGCGGAGGAGACCCGATTCAGGGTACGTGTGCTTACCGATCAAGACGCAGCCTGTAGTACCGACCGTGGCGCCAAGTTTATTTATTTATTTCATCGGCTTAGCCAATTTACAAAGAAAAAGTAACAATATAAATATAATATAAATAGCAACATGACTAAACAACAACTTAGGTAACAAGCTTTTTAAATAACCACATAAAACATATAAAAACACAAAAACAGTAAGAAACATACTAGTTACGACTACAACCAACCACCTGTTTTAATTTTGTCTTAAATAGTCGAAGACCGCCAGCAAAGGGATCAATAGAGCAATTGTTAAATATCCTCAAGGTTCGAGTTAAAGGAGAAAAGTAGCCATAGTTGGCGTGATGAAATGGAATACAAAAGATTGGGGAGCTCTGACATCTTTGATAGATGTTAAAATCAATGGATTGGAGGATAATATCGGAGTAGGTTCTTCTAACCTATTGAAAATGGGGGGGCTGGGGGGTCGGGAAGTATTCTAAAAAAAATAAAAAATCGCGTGTGCAAGGGCCTACAAAAAACATAATTTTTCAAAAATTGTTTACGAGACCAAAAAAATTTTTGAACCAGAAGACGCAGAAGATACGACTCTATATACTTTTATTTTTGACAATTTTTCAAAAATATACAGGGTGTGCCGCAAATTCAAAAAAACTGAAAAATGGGTCCCGCTATTATTGAAAATTGGTTATAACTGAAAGAATATGATTCAGATCTCACTTTCTTTTATATTACGATATAGCCCGCATAGATACCAAAAACTTTTGTATTTAAGGTTTTCACTCATTATACAGGGTGTTCCCGATATTCCGTGCCAAATGAGAAATGTGTTAAGTGTTCTAAATTTGCAGTTGTCAACTTCAAATTTAGCAGAGAAGTAAAAGTCCGTGTCCACATTTAAACTGTAGAAATTGGGCGCAATCAAATATTACCAAATATTTTTTAAGTATATTTGAATTTTTTTGTTTTGGTAATTTTAGCTTCCAGAAAAATATGTATAATACTCGTTCATCCGATTGGCAAAATTCATTAACCCACAGACGCAAAAGGTCCAGTGCAATAACATTTATTTCAGGCAATTTTTCGATTATATTAAGGGTTTTCAAATTATTGGCAAAAAGCTAAAAGACCTAGGAAATTGCTTTTTTACAGAGTAAATTATTAGCGGCAAATCAAAAATTGTACAAAATATGTCTAATTGGTTCAAACGATATCATAGGCCGCATCAAGAGCTACAATTTTTGTATTTGCAGTTTTTGTGTATCACATATATTTGAAAAAATCTATATTGAAATCGTTATTTCGGGGGCTGTCAAAACGCCATGACGTCATTGATTATTACGGCGCACTGCATGGTTTCAGAAAGAACTTATTTTCTCGAAAACCATTTATTATTTTCAAAAAATTGTTGAACCAGGACGCGTGGAAAATCCAGGGCTATAACCTCTACTTCGAACAATGAACAATGATCATATACAGGGTGTGTCGTTTATGCGCAAAAAATCTAAAATATATGTTCCTCGTATAACTGGTAAATTTTACGCCGTATTATATCTTGATCACTTTCATCTACACTCCAGAAAATGTCAGCATCGCTTGCTTTTTTCCTCGCTGAAATGGGATTATTCACAATTTTCCAAACAGTTGATGTTGGAATTTTCGTCAATGTGGCCGTTTCTTCTAAAGATGCTTGCTTGCTGGCACCACGTTTAATGACGTTCATCGTTTATAACTTCCTTAGTCTCAATAGAATATTGTGTTCTACATTTTGGCGGGAGCATCTCGCACATATTTTGCATAATTCGCACACGATTCAACGCACGCTGTATTAGACATGAATAAAGAATGATTATTAATAAACTTAAAGTAAGTAGTATACCAAACCAAAGAATATTAAACAGAGGTAGATATAAAATTATTTTCTATTACGGACCACAATTTTACCTGAATTTAAATTCCGAAACTTTAGGTAATAATCTTGTTGCATTGTATTTTAATGAGCACCCTTGGATAATCCCATTCAAAAGCAATTGGTCACTTTCTTATATCTATGAACAGACCATACCTCAATGGCTACTAATATTGCTTCTGTCACGATTTTTGTGAATTGGCGTTAAATAACTTAATTTTCAGTAATCAGTAAACCGAACCCGGCGCTCGATAGGCGCTTAGTGTGTTCTTAACACCTGGAAAATTAACCAAAAAAATTTTTTTTCGTTATAATTATAAATTCTGGTTATTCGTAGATTTTTATCCCTTTGCCTAACGCCAGGGGTAAAATGAACCGCTTAAACCTTTTTAAAAAAAGCTATTCCATATTATTATAGCCGAGTGATGATAATTTATTTATCGAAAGTGTTGTTTTTTGGATAGCTCTATGGATTTAGCCGAAAGCCGGAGCTTTCGAAAATCTCATAAATACCAATAACAAGTTTTTTAATCTATAGAAAAATAGTTACGAATCAGTAACGTTTTTTTTTATTAAATACTTTTTTTCAAAAAACAAATCGACTTGATGGTTAAAAGCCACAAAAAATAATAAAGTGATAAAGTGGTGCTAGGCCATAGTAAGTCAACTAAAACAACTAAGCAGTTGTTACTATACAAGAGACTCTTTACTTAATTTCGACGGTGAGTGTCCTATTAGACGTTTATGGTAAACATCCTGAATTATTGGTGTTGCGGTGTTGCCAGACATACTCCTAACGTAAACAAACAATGTCCAGAATATTTCACAGAATCGAAAAATGTAGTGATATACAAGGTATTCTGTTTAAAAAACGAAAGTTGGTATACGTTACGCGTATAACCTGGCAACATCGCATGGGTAAAAATATTTTACATAGGTAGCTCATAGTCATTCTCCATAAACGTCTAATAGAACATACATCGTGAATAGCCCTGTATAATGTCTTATTAATGTGATAATACGGGACTCTCAATTTTTAAATATATTTTTCTAATCCCGTCTGTAAAATACCTAATTACCCACCGATCTAGCGTGCGGGAACTGTCACTTTACCACGTTAGTTTCGTTTCCCACGAATCGGAGCCACTTCGGACATTTCCGGAATTTTACCCCACGGGCTTAGGAGCAATCGGATCTTTTCGGAGATATTTCCCATGCTTTGAATTTTGACGTTTGTCAATTGTGACAGTCATGTCAGTGAATGTATTTATGTTTTGCCAAATTTTTACGCAAAAACTAACGGTCGTAGAAAAAGTATAGTATGCAACACGTTCGGTAAACTTTTTAACTCACTCATTTATTAAAAACTCGTGAGTCAATTGCCATTTGCCGCACTTGTTGCATAATATACTATTTTAGTACCTATCTATCCATTTGTTCTTTATATGTTTATTGCATTTTCAATTGGCATTCTATACATTTCTACATAGTATCATTACTAATATACAAAATGTTAAATATAATAATAATAAAGTATCAGTCACTTAAAAGGTCAGGCACACAAGATTATTTTAAAAATTACCTGAAAGCGTCAGGTACATACGAGGGCAGCGCCAAAATTTCGCGGCCTGAATATGAAAGAAACAAAGTAGAGTAACAACTTTTTATTATTTTTCAATATAATCCCCCTTAACTTCAATACACTTATTACATCTCCTTATTAACAACTCAATCCCTTTAAAAAAATATTCTTTTGGTTTGTATGCAAAATGAGCAACAACTTCGTCGTTAAACCGCCGTCCAAGTCCTTTTTCAAATATTCAAAGAATTAATAGTCGCTGAGGGCCATATCTGCACTATAGGGAGGATAATCTATCTGTTGGAACCCGCACTCTAGAATGGCAGCTTGTGCAACACCAGCAGTATGGACAGGTGCATTATTGTGCAAAAGACGCACGCCTCTGGTCAGTTTTCCTCGACGTTTTACACGTATGCAGTCTCGCAATTTATGTAATAATGTTGCGTAATATTTACCATTGACAGTTGTATTAGTTTCTTTAAAATCCATCAAAAGAATTTCTTCACAATTCCAAAAGATCGTGGCCATCACCTTTTTGTTGGCTGGCAGACTCTGAATTTTCTTGGAGGTGCTTCACCCTTACGACACCACTCCATTGATTCTTTTTTCGATAGAGGGTCATAAAAGAGAATCATAGTTTCATATCCCGTCACATTAGGTTCTATCACAGGCTTCTGTTCCGACCCACAGAGTTCCAAAAAAGACCGCGCACCCTCGACACGGTGTTGTTTTTGAATAGCCGAAAGGTTTTTAGGAACCCATCTTGCACTAACCTTATGCGTACATAAATGATCATGCAGGATTCGACGAACACTTGTATCAGAAAGCTTAGTAATTTCTGAGATTTCCTTGACCTTTAAACGTCAATGACTCAATACCATAATCGCAACAATATCTTCCGTTATGACCTCCAGTGGTCGACCAGTTCATGAAGCATCGTCAAGGGACTCCTGCCCCATTCGAAAACGTTTTGCCCAACCTTTCACTACAGAATACGCTTTAGAACTTGGGCCGTACACACCATCCAGCTTTTCTTTCTTTCTTGCAAAGATTCCAGGGGTGAATGTCTTATTTATTAATGATACAAGCGCTTCTATTATCAAATCTTTCACCACTTTTTTTAAAGCTTAATTAATTTAAATTCCAGTCCTAGATTAGATATTATATTATCACGTCCTATCTCACTGAAGCTATTACTGTTCCAGGCTCATATTTTACAATTGTTTGCCCAACTTATATGTTGCGCCCAGATTTATTTATTATAAGCTCGTAATTTAACCACATTTAGTATAATTTCGTGTCAATCCACTCGCTTCCTCGCATGATTTGTAAAATTTTATTATTTGTACATTTGTTTCTTCGCCTCATCTGTCTTCAGCGTTAAAGTGCTTCGTAGCATTCATAAAATTCCTCTGGGATGTCAAAATCTGGAAATCCTGAAAACATGATTACATTCCCTTAAGTGAATTGTGATCTACGTTTATTCGTTTATTAAAATATATTTCTG